CAACACTATTAACGGCGAGCTACTTTTCGACCTAAGCGATAAACAAAGTCAGTTTTTGTCAGATTTAATGTAAACTGACGACCATCGTTTAGCCCACACATAATATCTGTAATGTAGATGATTTGTTCCGGGCATTAGGGTGGAGAAATGTCAGTCATTAAAGATTGGAAAAGAAAACTACAATGATAGTATAAGATTTAAAACGTAATGAATCCTGAATATCGCAGGTCTAGTTCTGTGTTTGCGACGTGACGTCTATTAGATTTAGGAACAGTTTTTAAAAAGCAAACTAGCACTTCCATAAACCCCCAATGATTACAAAAGAAAAGTTTTATCTTTCTTTCTTTATTTATTTCCAGCGGAGTCGAGTTATGCAACAGCTTACGACCACCCTATAGTTCACCTCCCGCCTCGACCAGCTAAGGCTAATTGCAGTGTGCGTACAATATTTTCCAGTTTACTGTCTGTACTCTTTTACATTTTTAAGTTTAGATTTATGTGTGTATGAATAAAATCTCATCTTCCATTTGGATTTCTTGTTTTCTTTTTTCATTTTCCATGACTTAGAAACAAACACTTCACTTTGCTATGTCATTACATGCCATTACATGTCATTTGCAAATTTCTTCCAGGGAAACTTTAGATAAATTCTCAACATTTGGTCGCATTTTCATAAGAACATATCAGAAAGATTAAGAACATCAAAAATGCGTGGGCACAGATTCTGCCCTCCTCGGGGGAAGGGATACGTACCCCCTCCCTTCGTCCGTTATGACTTAAAATAAGTGTCTGCCAAATTGCTAGTCGCAATTCAGTATGCATAGTGTCAGTTTAAAAATATCTTATTTTCTCACCTTTTATTACGAAGTGCTTTACATCAGTCCCATACTTGTTCGTGGCCACACAGGTGTAGTTACCTTCCTGGTATAATTTACTGCTTGCAATGTTTGTAGTGTTCAACAGCAGTGTAAAGTTTCCTACCAATGCTATGTATATGGGAGGGGTTCCAGTGGCTGAACATGGCACCCTGCTACCTGGAACTACTTCCACTGCAGTTAAAACAATCTTGGGGGGCACTAGTTAAGTAATGTTTAAATTCAGTTAGCACTTCAAGATTATTATATTCAATAGCTCGTCCAGTTTGGACTTAACGAAGACTTCACATGCAACTGAGTGAGAGTAAGACGGGGCACGACGGCGGGAGTGACTCACTCAGTCGGTCGGTCAGAGATCTGGGAACGAGATTAGAGCTTACACTCATTGAGCCCGTAATGACCATAATGGAGGAATATCTCGAAAATAATTTGTGCTTCACCAATTCGAAATTTTTTCAATATTTCCAACCAAATTCACCCTGTTTATCCACAACTAATACAGTATACATCCCATGTAGGGTTGACGAGATGGCGAGATGGCATTTTCAGATGGCCAGCGGTAACGCCCCAGCAATATGAAGCGTTTCTTGGCACTAGTTCACCAAGTTGATTCCCTAGAGATAACACTTGACGTTAGATTTTTTTCAAATTTTTTGTGGTTGTTCCTAATAATGCAGATATTCGAAATGTGCGATAAAAAACAAATGGTACGGTGCTCGTTCAAGAGTCGTAACTCGTCAAAGGTGCGTCAAAAATCCGTACAATGGTACCCATTAAGTGCGTTTCTCTTTTTCTGAATGCCGCTACGTTTCGGGGTATCAGTGGCCAAACACATGGAGTTAATATTAAAAAGTCGCAATAGGTTTATTGCATAGTCTTAAAGAAACAATTTGATATATGTTTCTTGGCAAAAATGTACATCTTGGATCAGAGTTGACAAAAAGTCTTTCTAGTGTGCGTCTTCAAGGGGTGGTAAGGTTCAGGTCACTAGTGAAAGGGTAAGTAAACATTTTTGGCAGTAATTTTTTTACCAGACGTTAAAATTTTTTCTTACTCATTCAGTGGAAAGGCAATGTAATTTTAAATTTTTAAGCTTCAATTTATAATTCCGCATATTAAATTGTAGTAATGTAGATAGACGACCACCCTTATTAACTTAGTGTTAGCTTGGTGATGCAACACTGAGGAAACACCTTAAAGAGGGACGCGCTTCGCTTTCTTTCTTCTCGCACATTTATTTCCAGTGAACATCAGCATAACTTAATCAACATTTAATTTCCGTCTACGCCGATTAAAAGTCTATGACGATCAAAAAGTTTACCCGGGTTAAAAGTACACGCATATTCCCGGATGAAGGCCACCGTCGCTAAATCTCATTCATTACGCATGCACACATTTATGAGTTAATAATGGTCGCTTCTCGGAACAGATAATGTCCACGGACAAATATCTGAGTCTATTTCTGCACTAAATGGAGGCTATAGTTTATTTATGTTTTCAGGTATAACACCGCTAGCACCGATACGTTAAATAATACAGCTGAACATACTTTCAGAGTTTACCTTAGAGATTCCACTGTGATTTAAGGCGACTCTCTGACTGAGACGTAATCGTACTTTGACTAAGTACTAAGCCATGCCACATTCGATATACAGGTTTGTTAACAGTTGTCTAATGTGGCAAAGATGCTAAAGCTCCATCTTTATTATATTGCAAACATTAGAAATCAGGAAAAGTACTTACCGTGTGGATAAGCAGTGAAATGTATCAGGAATCCCCTTTTTTCTTCGCTATGGTCTGAGTGGAATTTGATCAATATCTGGTCTCCAGTTAAGAGAATGTTCTGCCCAGTCCTCTGGCCACAGTACTTACCAACTATTCTTCCGTCATTAACAATCTCTAGATAGTCAAAACTGTGCATAAGAAACGGAAACAATTGGCCGTTATTACACGACTCAGTTAGTTCAAAGGGCCATTAACTAAGATAAAGCTATCAGAGATCTCAATTCCTTTATAGCCAAGCTTGGTCGGGACCGTACTCGGAGAATATTGGCCGGCATGTTTTTTATACGGACTGATAACACATGTATAGCAATGACGGATGTGACAATATGCCACGGTTACTTCTATTTTCGCATTTTGTCTAATTAGGTCTATATCTCGGGGGAAAGTAACATGCCAAAGATGGACAAGATGTCAGGCTGGGAAAGAGGAGAACAGCTTTTATTCTTTCCTATCCCACTGGAGAGCAGAAGTTTTATATGCACAGAGCTTTCAAATTGGCTCCTCGATCCCTGAAACTAAACGTAGCTGCTCAAACCATGTACTTTGCGCATGGAGTTTGAACATACGAAAGGAATTTCAATGAGAATTCTTACCTATATTGTAATCGTCAAGTTTTCGTGACTGACCATGAAATTTTTAAAGGCAAATTTCCCGCAAGAGTCATTTGCGTGCTTCTGATTACTTTATAAACAATGAAATTGGATGACGTTGTAGCTTGCGCATGCCCCGAGCCTTGAATTGTCAAGAAACTATGAGACTCTGTCTCAATTTATTAACTAACGTTATTATACAACTTTTCATAACATTTGACTGTCTTTTAGTTGAAGACAGCATATTAAAGCGAGGAACTTATAGTCCTCCAGGCTAGAAACTAACAAGTTTTGATACTAGTTATACAATAATTTACATATTTATCACATTTTTAGTTGCTTGTACTTATTTTTGTTGTCTATATTAAGTGTATGTGGAGTATAGTATGGTTTTAGATCGCAATTGGGACTCTTTCCCCCGTCACATGCCGTACTATTTTGAACTTATTTGCCTATTTGAAGTTAGTTCTTGTATTTTGGTGACGAACTCATTAAACTATACTAAACTAAATTGACCAGAGTCTCTCCACTCTACCCCACCCCCCTCCCCTTAAGGGTCCAAGATTCAGTCCGAGGTCTCTGAATATTATAAATAAGCCTTGTAACTATTTTCTGATTTGTTGTCCTTTGTTATAAAACAAGAACAGTCTCATCAAGTTTCATTCACTCCAATGAATTCTTGACAAATTAAAGGAATTAACAGATCGTGTAGTAGACAGCAGTAGGTATAAAAGCTTGAAGTAACAGCTATGTGCTTACCGGCATGATGAATGATCCTCCAATTCAAAATCAATGAAGGAAATGATCATCGTCCGATTGTGTGGAACAGGAACCGTATAACTGCAATCCATATTGGGTGGGTAGTAAGGATATCCAGGACTTTTTAGTGTGTTATTAACCACCGAACCACATCCTGTTTAAGGAAAGGTATAAATATATTATATATATATTACATATGTGTATAAGTTCTCTTTGAGAAAACATATTGCAGGACAGGTATGCATAGGATAACACCACGCCATAAAACACGAATACTGAATACTGCTTGAATGCTTCACTCTAAACCCTTCAGAGGCCGGCACCTGGCAAAGCGCTTATGCTTTGGCCACCAAATTAGTATAGGATAATGTAACATGAATGCATATAGCTACAGATACTCTAGCGTAATGCAACGTCATGATGACGCACTTATTATCATTTTATTGGCCAAAAACGTCTTTCATCGATGTTTCCATCACATTTGGGAGTTTAATAATTAAGCCAAAAAATTAACAGTAACAAGTTTCATTAGGTTGGAATGTCTACTAACACTTTGGGTGTCTGTAAGTGGCAGTTCCAAGAGAGTTGCTTAGGGGACCGACCCCACCCCCTCCTTTTGCTGTTATTAACGACAATACTTCAGGCCCAAACGACAAAAAACATTTTTGGCCCCACCCTAATTTTCAGTCCCTAATTTAAAAAGCGTTGTCTTGGCGGCCATATTGACTTTCCCAAATAATAGGAAATGTTTGCACTTTTATGGTGGTTTTAAACAGACACAGATAACTGGGCAGCACGTGCGTGAGTGCCATGGCATCTTACTCGGTGAAAAGGCTAAATTTTCGAGTACTACAGTTGGTTTTCGAAGTACTTGTGCTTCTCTCAGCAAGTTATTACGATCATAACTTCTCTGATAGCGATTATATCGGAAATTTGGGTAG